TTTGAATTTTTAAGTTTACCCCGGAGTGCCAGATGAGACCATCCATAACCTAACTGAGATATCCAATTTCAGCTTAAAAATGAAAGAAATAAATATAATAATGATAGTTTGGCTCTCTCTGCTCTGACAATTGATTATGAAGTTTCTGGCATATTCCTAAAGTCAAGGTCCAGTAATAATTTTCTTTTTAATTATAAAGAAAAGGAAGTTTTTCCCCACTTGTCCATTGATTCTGACAAAGTATTTCTTAATCTTAAATCCTGATGATGGTTCAATTAATTATCAAATGAATTAGCTAGCTAACTTTTGGGCTAAAGTACTATGAGAATTTCATCGGCAACAAATTGCATAATTAAACTACTATTTACAACCTTGAATTGCTAGCACTCGAACCAGAAAACCAAATGAATAAAGTTGTAAAGACAACTAATAAGATTGGTATACCCACTTTCACCTAAATACTTCAATATACTTTAGAGTTGTTAGTTAGCTAGCTAGGCATGGTTTATGTGGGTAGTTGGAGAAGTTCACATTATAATCACCTAATCAAAGCCTTATAATCACTAATATAATTAATCTTATATTCTAGACGTTCAATTCATTAGTCCAATCGGTGTATTTAAGCTATGACAATCGCTTCTTAATTCTAATGTTTTTGACACATCTTGTCAATTCTAGGATTATTTATTTATGCTCAATTAGTTGAATATACATGTCCGAAGACCAAGTCCATGCAAGAAATTTGTGTGCCATGACGATGCCACTTTTGGTATATTTAAATTTGTACGTCAAAGAAGCTTCCAACTAAAAGATAATGAATAGGTTACCATCAAAACAAAAGATAAGATAATGAATAGGTTACCATCAAAACAAAAGATGATAAATACAAGTAGAAAAACATTCACATATGGAAAAAAGAAAAGAAAAGAGAAAGACTCACAAAACAGAAATATTAAAGGAATGTTATTTAATGGTGTTTTATCACTCATAATAATTCAATAAATAAAATTTATACATCAATTATTGTTTTTAGGTAGGAGAATGCTGGCTGGTGTAATAACTGGTACTGGTAAAAAAGAAAAATGAAACTGGAAAACCTTCTTTTAATAAATACTAGGTTTAATTTCAACCAATTATTGCATGTGCTATGCGTTAATGCGTAGACTAAACCCAACTATGCATAATAATGGAAAGATTAAAATTTAGTTTAATAAAGTCAGAACTTCGAGTCGTAAGAGAAATAAATCACTTGTGATAAAATAAATAAAGAAATATTTGTAACGCTTTTATAATTTAATAGTTATATATTATCATCACGAACTAACTAGATCATGCTCAATACATGAGATTGTGCGTGATAATGGCCATTATTCAAAAAATTCATTTGAAAGAGATAGTGCCTTAGCTTTATCTTTACATGTCAACTGCCAGAGTTGAACATGCATGTGTTAAATTGAAAACTCCATTCACATGCCCGCACCATTTTTATTTATTTATTTTATGTTTATGATGGTATAAAATCTAAATATTATATTTATTACCAATATATAATAGTAAAAGAAAGTGATAAAAAATATTGTCTTTTGGTGGCTACACATGAACTTAATATCTTTTTTTAAGGGGGGATTTGGATGGAGTTAATCTCCATTTGCACATTTCTCAACAAAAAATTGATCACCTTCCATAAAAGATAGAATTAATTGCCCAATATTCAATAAAAATTGAAAAATGTTAAAATGGTGTGATAAATAACCCTCATGGTGGGGCTAATTTAGAGAGAAAAAAAATTATAAGATCTTAATTTGACATGTTTGATTAATTGATCATGGTTATGTACTAATGCTAAAATGCGTGACCATTAAGTATGGTTGAACAAATCCAACGTGATGCAATAATTACTTCATTTTATCTTAATCTCGATTATGAATGAATTTATATTCCAAATAAAAAATTGAAAACTTAATTATATCGTAGCCAATAGCATAACAACACAAAGTAACATAACACTAGTATAGTATAATTAGTATAGTTGATAGATAATTATGTTTCATTAGAATTAGAAAAATTGTGAACAACACGATAATATATCTTATACTACTAAATTGTGAACAACCATTCAGCTTAAAAACCAGAAATAGTCAAGCTAATATTGATGTGAGTATAATCTTATACGCGGTAATGTAATTAGTGAAAAATTGACTTGAAGCATAAAAGAGGACGAGGAACCTTCTTCAATGGGTAGAGAATGTTGACCAAAAAAAAATAATGCAGTGGCCATGCTGCTACACTTTTGTTTCGTCACGCATCAGAAACCTTCTGCAAAAAGTGGACCCTACGATGCATGATGCATCATCATCATCAACGGTTTACATTATCTCGTAAAAAAAAACCAGCAAAGTTGGATTGACATGTTTCACAGTAGGCTGTAACTTATGATTATTGGTGGACACAAAAGTAGAACAAAAATCTGTCATCTTATCGTTTTTATTAGGATTCCTTTATTCTCACAAAATAATTTTTATTTTTATTTTTATAAACAAACATATAAGTAATAAATTATTTTTTTTAACAAGTATTTAAAAAAACATAAAATAAAAAATGTTTTTTTTTTTTAAATTAAACCTTTGTTTTAGATGTGGACGAAGGAAAAGATGGGCAAAGCACTAGAAAAGTGGTGCAAACGTGGCACATGCTGACGTGGCAGACAAGTGAGTGTGGTATGAAGAAGATCCAGCTGGCAAGTGGGCACTGGAGCAGAGAGCATAATGTATTATGAATGTATGTAGGGATGGCAATGGAGCGCCGTAGGGACGGGTAATAGTAAATTCGCCCCCGTCCCGTCAGATGCAAAATTGATTCTATACTCACCTTATATCCGCGTAGGTATTTATTAAGCGGGTATTCATGAATTTCTTAAATACTCACGGATATTTATGGATATCCATGGATATTTATAAATCTTTTAATAAATTAAAAAATTATATTATAAATAATTTTAAGTTTCTATTTAATGTCATTAAAATATTAAAAAATAAAAATTCATCGTTAATTTTGAACTTGTATTTAACGTTAATTTTGTTAAAATAATAATAAAAATGCAAGATAGTTAATAACTTAATAGACATTAATCTCACAAGTAAGTTAAAGTCTCATCACAAACTATAATAATTCAATCTCATAATTTCAAATGAAAGTAAATAACTTACAATACATAAATTTTATTGGTCCAATCAAAGCTAGAAAACTAATCAAATTACATCCAACATAATTCTATAACATGCTTAACACATGTTGGTAATTTCATTAACATCACTTTTGTAAGAAAATAAAATGAGAGAGTATAGTTTTAGGATTATGTGGTACAAGGATAATTAGGATTTTTAAGAAATATTATTAAATGGGTACCCGCGGGTATGAATATCATCATACCCACCCCCGCCCCGTTTATAAACGGGTAAAAAATTATCCGTCCCCATTATCTGTGGTACCCAATGAGCCTATCCATTTATTATCCGTAACGAGTTTTACCCGCAAATACCCGCGGGTGCGGATATTTTTGCCATCCCTAAATGTGTTGGGATACTAACAAGTCTCTCATCTATAAAATAAGATAAAAAATAACAACTTATATAACACAAATATACTTCAATGATTGAGAGACCTTTTAGATAATGTCCAAAAACAAAATCGTGAGAGTTTAGGTCTAAAATGAATAATATCTCATCATTGTGGAGTATATTTGTGTAATAACTTTATAAAAATAATTTTCATAAAATATCCCCTCAAATAAATACCATAAAATTCCAACCTTGTGGGCTCAACTCAGCGTCACAATCAAAAAACAACGAAACCAAATCAAAGTCACAATACATTAATTTACTTTTCCCTCTCATTCCTCAATATTTTTTTTTAATTCACTATAATATTGGTAAAATTATATACACTTGAAAATATAGATTCATTTTTTCCGGAGAATATAAGTATTTATCTTTCAATATAAGTTATTTTATATTTAAAATTAAGATTGAAAATTTGAAAATTTAGTTAAAAAACACAAACTATATAATGTATATATAAATGCACAAAAGATATATATCCTTGGCGATGTTGAAAGAGTTGTTGTAAATATATTTGAGCAATAAAAAATGGAAATGAAGAGTGTGTAAGAAGAATAGCCCTGAATGATATTTCTGTCTTGTTGGTTCATCCTTGGCAGCTGGCGTTAGGCATGAAACAACACAGACACCAACACATCTATCTATTTTTTATGCATTTATAGAGACTGCTGCCTAACCCAATATTCCATCATGCATAACCCATCCTTTTCTTTTTTCCTTTTTTCACACTCCAAGAATTCTTCAATTCACCATGTGTTTCAATGTTCAAGTTCTTTTATTCACGTTTACCATTCTACTTTTACTGCATGCCACTGTGAGCTGTTCTTGGGAAACATGCTTTTAGAATTCTCATACTAGTTATTTATGGAAAAATAATTGGTATTATTTTTAATCAAAATTATTTATATTTAATATATATTTTTATATTATAATCTAATCACAGAATTTGTCCAAATTTTATTGTCATCGTCATGATTTCGATGATCAAAATTATTGCTTTTAAAAATTGCATTATATTCTATTACTTTGTTACTTGAGTAAAAGTTACATTATATACGAAAATTGTTGATTTTAAAAATTCGAGGCAAAAGCCAAAATTCCAGAAAAATATAAACACAATTAACTCAATTTTTTTTATTACATATGACACCATACAAATTTATAATACTATTAAAAATTAGGATAAAAATATATTGAGCATATTTTACTTAAAAAAATATTTTCCATTTTTAACAAATACAGTTAGCATTCGTAATTAACATTAGTGTTCCATAAATGAGGGAGAAAAGGAGCTAGAAAACGAGTAATAGCCAATAGGCACGATGACATGAACTATAAAAGCACATAAAACAAAAGAAAACAAAACAATTTTGTCGAAAATGAAAACCGCAGCTACTTTTTGATCGACGCGTACGCTTGGTCTTGGTGTTCCCGCCGCCCCTTCTCTCTCTACCCTCCATTCATTCTTTCTCTCTCTAGAAACAAAACCATTAACAGCACATAACAAGGCATTATAAAACCCACCAACCAACCAAAGAAGCATTGAATCTTGAAGAAGCAAGCAATGGCCAAGTTCAAGAACAATGCCAAGAAGTTGTCCTACATCTCAGTTCCTTCTCAGATCATCAACTCCATCTCATCTTCTTCTCTTCAATCTCTACTTGAGTCCCCCAAGAAGTGTGCAAGGCACTCCAAGTTTCCCAAGTGCAGGAGCCCAAGACTCTTCCTTTTCACTCTTTTTTTCTTTGCCTTCTTAGCCATGCTCAAGTTTGGCTTCAATCTGGACACCCCATTTCCTCCCTTCCCGTGTGCAACCTCAAAACCCGAACTTGCAACTGCATCACACAAAGGTGGTGTTTTGGATGGTGCTGTGCCACAGCCTCTGATTTCCACTGTGCAGTTACATGCAGATTTTCCTCATGAAAGGGGTGAGGAGGTTGAAAAGAGTGAGTTTTGGGAGCAGCCAGATGGGTTGGGGTACAAGCCTTGTTTGGATTTCAGTAGGGAGTATAGGAGAGAGAGTGAAGGGGTTGTGAAGAACAGGAGGAGGTACCTCATGGTGGTGGTTTCTGGAGGGATGAATCAGCAGAGGAACCAGATTGTTGATGCTGTTGTTATTGCTAGGATTCTTGGGGCTGCTTTGGTTGTCCCCATATTGCAAGTCAATGTCATTTGGGGAGATGAAAGGTAAATTGAATCATTTTAACAATTGAAGAGTTGGTTTAGCTGATTATGAGTTGAACTTTTACTTTTTTTGGATTGAGTCTTCCTAAAGACCACCATTGAAGCTGAAACTTATGTGTAACTTTAGTTTCAATCTTGTTACAGGTCCAATTTTTTTTGTCTTTTGTCTTTTTTTTTTTTTTTTTTTTAAGTAAATGTCACAAGTGAGTCTTTTATGATTTTTATTTTTCCTTATTGGTGTGTTTCCACGGTTTGCAGTGAATTTGCTGATATATTTGATTTGGAGCACTTCAAGAGTGTTCTTGCCAATGATGTGCGAGTGGTGTCAGCATTGCCATCAACACACCTAATGACAAGGCCTGTGGAGGGAAGCCCTCCACTTCATGTCACTCCCAGTTGGATTCGGTCACGCTATCTCAGAAGAGTAAGAGTTTTTCTTTTTTTCCTCTTCTTATGTCTTATTGCTGCGAGCATGCACTGAGTTGTACTTAGTAGTTAGTAGGCTTGAGCTTCCCCAGGTTGAGTCCTAAAATGTTGCCTATAGTTCTTGTCTAGCTTCATGTTAACTTCATATGGTAATTTTTATGGATGGCACAAAAATTATCAACAGTATCATAATAAGAGTTGTAGTGTCCTAAAATGTTGCCTATAGTTCTTGTCTAGTTGGATTCGGGCCGCGTGCCTTTATGTTGTCAGTGTATCAACATTTATCAATTCTGTAGTGCTAACTAGGACAGCTTTTACTTGTTAAGTATTGTTCTTGTTGAACAAGCGTTTAACATGATTATTCTCCTATATGCAGTTCAACAGAGAGGGCGTTTTGCTTTTACGTGGATTGGATTCAAGGCTGTCAAAGGATCTTCCTCCTGACCTTCAGAAGCTCCGATGCAAGGTATCCCAAAGTCTATATTCTAATGGAAAATAGGGAAA